ATAACTTTGGCAAACAAGAAAAGTAAGTGAAAAACGAGAGAGAGAGAGAGCGGAAAATAAACGGGGAAAACAGCTTAGACAACATCAACTTCTTGGCAACTCTGCCGGACTTTTTCCAGATATCTACCTCCTCTCTTTTCCTGCCACCCAAGAAATGCCATAAATTTTGTGATTTCTCATAAATTTTCGTCTCTGCATTTTGCTTCCAGTACTACCCCTCTATTTTTCGCATTGTTCATATTTGCATATGAAATCATGTGTTAAAATGCAGAAGCCTTTTTGAATATATTTTGGTGTGCAACATTTCCTCAACGTCGGAGAAATGGGAAAAGGGACAACTGGATCTGTATGTAAACAAACATATAAACAGTTTTCCTTATTCACATTTTCCAGCGTATTTTGCTACCAAATGTCAACTCGGTTGACTAAACAGAATGCACCGATAGTTTAGCTAGGTTATATTTTTTAAGGTAGTTTTTGAAAAATTCCTTTGTTGTGCATGGATCATAGAACATAAGAATGATTTCTCTATGACTTAACTGACTTTGTTTTGGGTTTTTAGCTGGTTTAAGACAATATCCCACATTCTTAAATATCATTTAACATTTGCCTTTAAGAAAAAATTTTAAAATGCCTGTGAAAAGTAACGAAAAAAATAAAGAGTTGCGCAAACAAAAGAAAAGTAGCTTAACTCTGGTAATTGAACCGAAAGAAACGCTAAATCTGCAATATCCGGTGAATTTGGATTACCAACATTTAGTTTTTTTGTGAGTCTACCTCCAGGAACTAACCAAATGAAATACAAAAGAAATTTCTGCTGATTCAAAGTGCAAAATAAAGAGTTCAGCCCGCTTCAATTGCTCAAACCTCTTTTTTTTGCCAGCCTGTTTCTTATATTCGCTCATCTGCCACAAGTCTATTATAGAGTTGACATTTTGGTCTATTATTTCAAATTTGGCCATTTTCATTTAAAATTTCTATACTATTTCGATGAAATTCATTAGACCCAATATTTACTAATTATTTAAATTTAAGAATTGACTAGTAGCATTAAAACAAATACATTTTGTAAGTAAAACATTTGTAAAAAACATTTAAATACAATTTTACTTACTCACCCACCATTAGGTTAAATAAATGTTTTATTCATTGTATGGACCAAATTTGCTTTATAATATCAATCTTAAGTACCAAGATTGTTTATTAGACTTTGCCTTTTCAAGTCGTGTTTACCATAATTCATGAATAAGTGTACGTTTTTTAGAAAACTATGTTTATTCGACCTTGTTTGTTTATTTGCAATCATAGCTTTTTTTGGTTTTCAAGTTTTGACAACACTGGTCTTCTAGGTCGGCACTTTCTAAGAGAGATAACTTAACTAGGTGGTTCCGTTTTTGTTTGGTTTTGTTTTCCTTTTTTTAGCCGGCGACGTCGCGGGAAATTTAAACCGAACCGAATAAACAAAGGGAGGGAAAATACGGAGACGGAGTCGGAGTCGCGTCAAACGCTTTTCCGCCTTTTCAGCTATGCGTGGCACGTTGCCTCGCGCTCAAATTGATGAGAAAGGTGAGAAATTCGAGGGAACTAAACTCGAGATTGCACGACCCCAGACCAGAAAAGAAATCCGATTTTTCCTCCGTCTGAGTGTCGTCATTTTCCGGCTAGGCTGCGACTTCGGCTGATGCGAAGATGTGAAAAACCCCGGACTTGTGAAAGCCGCTGGTGTGAAAAGGTTGGTGGACTGTCCAAATGAATTGCCCGTGTCGAAACAAGTTAACCTGATGGCTGACTAGCTGCTTTGCATACAGTTTTCACGGAATTTCCAATTAAATTTGCAATTTCTTAACGGACGAAAATGGCCAAAGTCTAAAATTTGCCATTCTCAAAGATCAAAGTTGTTTATCTATCGACTATGCTGTGTTTACTTTATTCCAAAAATAAGTGCAATCTTGATTTACATATTTTAGAAACGATTTTTGCTCTCTAATAAACAAAAAACTTAATTTGAAGCTAGGTATGTATATATATGTATGCGCAAGAATTTAGAAAGTAAAATTGTATTTTTATTTTTACTTTTTACAAAAATGTAAGTTAATTTCATTCTTTGGTTTGTAGTAACTAGTTGTTTAAATATTTCTACAAACTGAGAGCATGCACTAACACATGTTGTATTTAGCGTTTTCTCAAAATTCGTTTTCTTAATATATACAAATATTTGAAAGAATGATTTGTAAATTATTTCATCTGGAGCGTTAAATCATAGCCTCTCAGTCCCTCTATCTCTTTTCTTAGTCAATTTCGTAGGCCCGGTCGTGCTCAGATAAACAGTCATAGTGGCAAATAAACCATTTGCTGATTTATTCGCTATATTTGCCGCACCTTTCTTTGCTTTTCTTTGTTTCTACTTGGACACGCGCCAAAATACTTTGCTCAAGGCAGGCAAACACACACTTTCTGTACGTCAGTCAGTCGGTGAGCCCCAGTCATCCATCCCAGATTCTATATCCCATATCCCAATCCCAAGGAGGGTTCACTTTCGCCATTCTACTTCGACGAAAGAAAAACAAACATGGCTCAGTGCTCCCGCCCTAAAAAATGAGGAAAACTGAAGAATGAAGAATGCCGAATCCCGAAGAATGAAGAATAAACAAGCGACGCAATTCTTTCTACAGTTTCTTTGTTACTTGTCATGTATTCGAGTGAGTCACCCTAATGGGAAGAAACGCATGAGTGCGACGTGCCGCGATTGTTTGCGTTTTTTTGATGAGTTTGCTAAAATAAAACAATCGCGGTTCCTTCCGTGTCATGCTTTTGTAGATAAAATACTTTTAGCTAATTTATTTGAAATAAAAAAACAAAATTTTTTAATTGATTTTAATAACTTCGCGATAAACAAGAAGTAGTGTAAATGATTTAGTAGCTGTTTTTTCTATAGAACCAGAAAATACTGGAAATTTCCAATATACAAAATACTCCAATACATTGGTTGTTTGTTATAAATAATCTTCCTTAATTTAAGAAAATTGTTGGATCTTTTCTTATGGCTTTACACTAATTAAGTTTAATAAAAGGAGAACAAATCTTACAAATAACGTTGTGTGCACAAAGAACTCGGCCTTCCTTAAATGTAAACAAACTCAAAATGCATTTTTCAACATTTGCCGAATTGCTGGCCAAAAATAGATTCCCAAAGTACAGGAAAATATTCACGTTAAAACACATAACGTTAAAGTTTAACTCTACAACAAAGATCGAAAAAAAAAGATAACCGAAGCTAATACAAAGCAATTTATGTATATGTATACAAACCAGACAAATGGAAATATTTGCCGTATGCCAACAGAAAAACAATACTAATTGGGCTTGATGTGTGGAGCGTAAAACAGAAATGAGCAGGGCAAAAACAGACATCAAACTGACGAAAATTCACACGCCTCCACACAACGAACAGAAACGAGAACGATTTTGGGGAGAGATGGAAAAAAGCGACGCACGTTGCAAAAATGCTTTTTGTTTTCTTTTCAAAATCCTTCTGTTTACACAAATTCTTGTCTCTCTTGAAGTTCCTTTTTTGCCCCTCTTGATGTGTAATTTGTTTCTGTTTTAATTAGTGCTGAACTCTTGCAGGAGAATTGATGGGGGTGTGATTGGAATCACCTTCGGGCAGTGTTGTTTATTTACCTAAATGCAAATGAATTATTTCGATTTGCTTTGCTGGTTATTATTGTTTTTATTGGGCGAGCGAAGTGCGTTGGATGAGAAATGAAATTGAGAAACCCCGACGGTCAAAGCTCAGCGGTATTTCTCATTGTCCATTAAATCTTAGTTTTTAAACAAAACCGTAGAGAGGCAAATACGATTTACACAACAATTAGCAAGCTAATTTATTTTATAGCCATATATTATAAAGATATAAAAAAAAAACTAAACTATTTGACAGCTATTCATATAATTTCTACAATTTCATTGCATTCAATTAGTAAAAGCTAATGTTTTCGTTTTTTTTATTTACTATTTTATCAATCTCAGCATTCTAAATCAGAATAATCACTATTTATAGTTATATTTAAACTGATAGTAAACAATTCCATGAACAAAAGCAATTATTTTGTAAATGTCCCTTTAAATTTCCTCAATAACGGGAAAATATAAAAACAAACTTAACATCATCAAAAAATTCTGTGATTTTGCTTGGTAAACCAAACTCAATTATTTTAAACAATCATAATCATTATGATGTTTACTAATATTGACATGAAAACATCTAAAAAATAATCTGTAATTTCGGTGTCATTAATAATTTCAAGTTCTCAAAAATCAATACTCGGCAAATATGTATTTATAGACCGTAAAGAACGCAAAGTTGAACAACCTTTGCAAGAATTTAAAGGCTGCAAAATCTCAATAAACTATAGGAAGCCAACAAAAATTAACTTTTACAACGAGAGAGATAAAAACAACAAATAAATCATAATTGGGAGGGGCAAAAAAAACATTAGGAAGATTAGAGCAAAGAAGAAGAGGCGATTAAAAGGCACAGGAGCGCTAAAGAATAGAAAATCTAAAAGTAAACTATATGCACGACTACCTTGCAACGCGCCAGAGCGAGATAGCTGCTAAAACCGGTATCACAAACAAACACACCGCAAAGAAAACGCGAAGAAGACACTCTATAAGAAAATAATGTTGAGCATTTAAACAAAAACAGAAAATGCGAAAACAACAGCACTTTGCCCGGAGATAATGACTTACAAAGGCAAAAATGTAAAAACGCAACAAAGAGTGAGAGAGCGGTAAAAAGAGACGAATCTGAGGCACAAAAGAGAAGTAAAGAACATGCAACAAGCTGCAATAACAAAAAATAATCAACAACAAAGACCGCTCGGTTATTTTTGTCATTAGATCAACTATTTAAGATATTTTTGCAATTGTTTTCGCACGAATTTCACCCACATTCGCGAATTCCACTTATTTATAAACAATTTTAATCGCAAGCTCACCTGATAACTGGAAATAGGCCTGCAACTTTAGATTAAATTGAAAATTTCAATTATTTTCGTTGGCTGTTTCTGCTGGCGTTGTTGTTGTTGTTAAATTTCAAGCGAAAGCAGGCAAAACAACAACATAAAATCACAAACACTTGCACGCACGCACGTCACACACACATTCGCACACACACAGGCACAGCTGAGACATAAACACACGGAGAGCAGAGACAGAGAGCGATAACTATTTTGTTTTCTGGTTTTTTCACAATATTAATTCCACAGATTTCGAATGGCAACCATATTTTAATTTATTTAATTCGCTTCTTAATTCGATTTTGCCACTGTAGAACTGTGCCCGTTCAGCTGCTGTTTTGTTTTTAGTCCCCTCCTTGCTAATTTTCCTCGACTCGCGGCGAAAACATATGATTTTGTCGACAATCACGATAAGAACAACGGAGAAGGCGCGCTCAAACACCCAAGACAACCGTCTGTCTTGAAAAAATATATATATTTAAATATAGAGGAGCTGCACTTATTTTTCGGCTTGTTTTATTTTGGTTTGTCCATATAGCCAATTTACCAGCGACGACAAAAATTACTCGAAAAATCCGTAAAATCAGCAAACACGGAGCCGGAGCTGGCACGTCCGAACGTCGAAACGGCGAAAACGAGAAAACGGTGAAAACATAGAGTAGGAAACTCAGAGAGCAGAGAGCAGAGCCTTCTGCTTCTTTTTCTCTGCCGCAGCGCTGCCTCATCGTTTTCCTAACAGAAAGTTAAAATTATTACAGTAGAGGTGGAGAAATTTCGTTAATAACGATGTTTCGCAGGGCAGCTTCTGGGTTATTCCATCTCTAGGGAACATTCGAATATCGAATATCGCACTGTTAACTTGCTCACGTCCTACGCACAGTGGATAAGAATGTACGTGTACATCAAATCATATTTCTTCTCAAACCATACTAAAAAGACACTTGCTTCTCAAAATATATATTTCTAAAACAATTTTGGTAAAAATATAAACATATAAGAGTACAATATAATTATTAAATTAGTGAGATTTTATATTTTATTTTATTTAAAACTCAAAAAGATATTTCTGGCATGTTTTGAAAAGACACTTTACGAAAAACTGTCATCAAAAGCTGTTGTGATTTTTGAAATTCGACTTTAACTATAATATCCATAACCGGGCACTTTTCCAACTGTTTGACGGAAACAGCATCAGCTGTTTCGCTGGAGCGAAAGAAGAAGAGGTTTCATTTAAAATGTGGCGGGCTCAGCGATAGCCGGAGAGAAAGAAGTTTCATATTTTAAGAAATATAATTTTGTCTTGTTTATTTTTTGACTAATAATGTCTCCTTAAATTAATTAACTGTATCAAAAAACATGTACTATTATTTTAAAAATTATGCGGGGAAATTGGCTATGAGTCGATGGTAATTTAAAATTATTTTTATTTCAAAGATTTCGCTGGTAAACATTAATTTGTTTACTTTTATCGTATTTTGAATTAAAAAAAAAAATTGGTTGAATAAAAGAACGATAAATGCGATATATTTTGTAGCCCTGCTTAATCAGCTGATTTCTGTTGTTCGGCGAAGATGGACAAAAAGTTAAAGGGATTTCAACTGGTGGCCCAGGAAAAGGTAAAAACAGGAGTCATGAGTGCAAAAATACTAACCATTTGTTAATCACCGCCAGCTTTGCTCTATTCTGGGCTCCATAACCGGTGATAAAGCCACTGGAATATGTTTTCACTGCCTCCTGGTTAAAGTAAGGTTTTAATTGTAATTAAAGGATGTTAACCAATTATATGCTATTTCCCAGACTAAAGGGCATTCAATGGATATACCGCGATCTTCAGATCAGGTTCACATCTATATGATCCGCAGTGTTTTGGCTACATTTCAAGCAACTTGAATCCGTGGCCTTGGAGGAAATGCCGGACATATCCTTGAAAATGTATCACATAATTTGTGTGCCCTGTTGCTATTCCTATTTTCAAACTGGAGAGTCTTCGACCAGCGTTCCGGCGAGATTGTGGTGGATAATCTCAAGAACAAGATCAGCAGCCAGCGGGTGGAGTTGTTGCAGGGAAAGAAACCCAAAGTTGGCCCAAATCCAACCAGTAAACCCTTCACCGAGGACGAGATTCATGCGCAAGTCAAAGCCTTGGGTTTGGAGCTACAGAAACTAAATGACATGCAATTGGAGGAGATGCACGACTATGTGGCCAGGAAGTTGCACAAACTCATGGAGTTTCAGACCAAAGTCCTAAGGCACCTGAATACCAGCGAGATAGTGATCCAGATGATGGTTAATTTTAGAAGATTACAAACCCTCCAAGAGGACATCTTAAACAATGTTTCAAGGAAACAATTGCTGGCCGAGATTGATGAGCTGATGACTACTGATACCCTACGATTGATGTGCCTTTTGCACCATTGTGCCGGTGTGGCTCCCGAGGAGCTGCAGATCTTTGCGAGAAACTATTGCAATCTGTTTGACCACCAGAACTTGGGTGTTTTCCAGCAGTTATCGCAGGCGGCACTGCTACCACCACTTGTTGCCGATTAGAAAAAGAAGAAAGAGAAGAAGGTGCCAGCAACCAAGTTGCTTTCCCAACTACCGCTTCCAAAGTTCCAGCAAACCGAATTTCAGGCCAATGCCAATCGGCAAAAGCTTCTTACATCCTGCGGAGATGGTCACAATGGTGCTGTTGGCATGCTATCCTGTCCGAGTTATGTCTTTAATGGCACCTACATTCCTTTGGTGGCACAACCCTGTTCGATTCTATTAAAAACCAATAATGCCGAGGAGTTATCCTCGCAGCTGGCCATGATTAGGGGCCTGCATCTGCATATGGACGGTGGAAAAATCACGCCCAAGGCATATGCTAACCAACTTAAGGTAAATGGAACCACCGATCAGGATGTCTTTCCATTACGCCTGAGGAATCTCTTTGTTTTTGTTGTGGGCGGTGCCAGCTATGCGGAAATTGCCGCCTGCGATTTTGTGGCCAAGCTCACGGGCGCCCAAATAAACGTGGCATCCGAAATGCTTTATTTATTTTTATACAAAACAAAGATGTAACAGCTTGTGATTAATACATTTTGAAATTTTATGACGAATAACAAAAATTTATGGACTTAGAAACTGGTGGTTTTCTGGAATGGAAAATGATGAGCGACAACGTAATAAAATCAAGGCTGTATTATATGTCTTCGTTCTCGAAACAATTTGAGGCCTTTTAAAGGTACCTTGAAGTTATCCGTGAACCTTTTTGAAAAAACCTATCACATTGAATTGTAAAATCGCAATTCAAACTATTTAAATTTAACAGCTTAGAAATCGATAAAGAGCTGGGGGGAAATAAATGGTCCTTAAGTTGACTAAGAGCCTTTTGTTACATAACAAATTATTATATTACATGATATTTATTTAGATCCAGTTTTGGGTGTACCTAGATACTTGTACCTTGGTACGTACCTAGACACCATTTTTTGATACCTTATACCTTACCTAGGTACTTAATTTCTCAAATACCTTGTACCTTATTTCGATCCAAAAAACTAGTACCGTTTTACCGATCCGCATTTTAAAAAACCCCGATGGCGTGTTGCTCACACTTGCGTTTATAAATAAGACTATCGATTTATTATCGCAACTGTATGGTTTTCGTTGGTTTTCCTGCAATTTCACGGCATTTTTGTAAATTCCTTAATATGTCGAAGAGCGCACTGGTTATTTTGGCTCCCGGGGCCGAGGAAATGGAGTTCATCATAGCCGCCGATGTTCTGAGACGTGCAGGGGTAAGTTTTGTACTTTACCTGTTAAATCATACTAAACTTGCTATGCATTCTTATTCTTATCCTGATAGATCAAGGTCACCGTGGCCGGATTAAACGATGCGGAGCCGGTAAAATGCTCTCGGGATGTTCAAATCATTCCCGATACCTCGCTGGCCAAAGTGTCTGCGGATAAATTCGACGTGGTGATTCTGCCTGGAGGATTGGGTGGCTCCAATGCCATGGGCGAGTCCTCGGTGGTTGGGGAAATCTTGAAGAGCCAGGAGTCCAGCGGAGGGCTCATCGCCGCCATTTGTGCCGCCCCCACCGTTTTGGCCAAACATGGAATCGCTTCCGGAAAGTCCCTCACTTCGTATCCCTCGATGAAACCGCAGCTGGTTGATAAGTACAGGTATTTATCATAGAAATCTTATTGAAATGGTTCTGTACTTTATCCATTTACTCTATATTTTAGCTACGTGGATGACAAGAACGTTGTGAAAGATGGAAATCTCATCACCAGTCGGGGTCCTGGAACCGCATACGAGTTTGCTCTTAAAATCGCCGAAGAGTTGGCTGGAAAAGAAAAAGTCCAGGAGGTTGCAAAGGGTCTGCTGGTAGCCTACAACTAAATCACTATGTCTATTTCGCAATCGGAGATTCTCGGTTAATATTTATTAAAGCCCTATACCATTGATGTAATCAAGAACTGAATTAAAATTTTGTTGAACAAAGGCAATGCTAATAAATGCTATTTAAAATGGTAAATTTGCACCCATGCCAATTGTTTAATAGTGAAATCTGCTTATTTAAATTTATATTGAATAGTGTTCCTTTAGATACTATATTAAATTACTTTTTATTTTTTTTATTGGTATTTTAAATCAAAAATAGTTATTTTAAATGTACAATTTTTTAAATATCAATCCCAAATTTTTGACAAAATAACTAATATTTTTTACATTGTAAAAGTGAATTAAAGATTCTACTACCAGATCTTCGAACCATGGCTTGCGCCTGTACTGCTGGTATTAGTAGTAATATTTTCCCAAAAACAAGAAATGTTAGGGAAACGTCGCACTTACAGAGAAATGTTAGGAAAAAGTCAAATTAACAGAGAAATGTTAGGAAAATGTCGAATTAACAGAGAAATGTTAGGAAAACGATGCACTAACAGAAAAAGAGAGAGATTGAGCGAAGTTTCGTTTTTAGCTCTCCATGTTTCGTGGGCTTCTTTCGTTTTCCGTCGCCGTGTGGCTAAATTTATTTATTTTTTAACGGTTGTCGTCATTCGCGTTTTTCGCTCGCTCCGTTCAACTATTTGCTACCAATTTATTGGCCAAAACAAAAATCAAGCAAATAATCTGAAATGGGAAAAGTGTTGCGGCGTTAAATAAAATCTGTTGCAAAGTGGCGAGAATCAATAGCAAAGCAAAGTAAATAAAAGTGCATTCGAATGGGTGTGGGTGTGGAAAAGAAAAACCAAATGCAGTGCGTGCCAATGCCAACAAATAAGAAATAAGAAACCCAAAAGGAAGCGAAGGAAGATAAGAAGTAAAAAGTGCAACAAAAGAAGAGAAAGAGCTGCAACAAATAAAAAATTTCGGTGCGGCGTTTTCTACGTGACGCGAAATTAAATGCGCTCTGCCCCCTCCCTTAGTCTCACCACATCTCCCTCTCGCTCTTTGTTAAAATTTAACTGCGAACAGGGTCAAAATAAAAAAAAAACACGTCGAAGAAATACTTGTATATAAATTCTAGGTAATTCCTACCTTCCGTTTTTTCGCGGTTAGCGCGCGTGATTCATAAACTCGTATTTAAGTAACAAAAAAAAAGATAACACAAAATACAGCCGTGCATTGAACCTGCTGAAAACGGTGGGCACCAAGTAAGCAGCCAACATGGACAACAGCAGTAAGTTTTACTCCTGCAGTTTTCATACCCTACCTTTGAAGAGGGTAATACGATTTTCGGTGACATGAAAAAATAGTTAAAGGCTACTAGAATTACACTAATCGTTAGCTAGAATATTAGGATTAAGAATCGCTTGAATCGGACTATAGTGTTCAATAGATAACCTAAATAATTTAAAAAAATATGTAATTTTAATTAAAGTTTTATTACATATCTTTGATAATTTGGGCAAAATCTATCATAACAATGATTTTAAGAGTTAAACAACTTTATCAATATCAGTCATCTAAAAGATGTAAGTCTGTAACCCTTAGTTCCCATATGAAAACTGTAGTAAATAAGCTTTACTTCTTTGATCTTTAAGTTTTGAATTTTGAAGTCAAATTTCTGTCAAGGGTATTTCAAACTTCGACTTCGCGAACTCCTATTCCTTTGTCGTTTATGGTTGTTGTATTTTCCTAGTTTTTCGGGGTGGGTCTATTTTCGCCGTCTGCCTTTTGCTCACCACTTTCGCATTTTGTGCGCCCGAAAAATTCTTCTTGTTATTGTTGTTTTTTTTTTCCGGGGTGGGTGTGTCTTTTTACCCAAGGACACTCTGCTTTTCTTTTGTTTTCTTTTTGACTTAAATCAAATCCCTTGCCTGGCTAACGGTTTAGTTAAGTCTCGATGTTTTTCACACTTTTTACGAGCACGTTTTTACAGCAATAAACCAAAAGTTGGTTAACAAACAAATATAGTAAAGGTTAAAACAAAGAAAATAAGGAAACCGGTTTTAGAGGCTTGCCAAAGAAAAGGTCTTTTAAATGAGAATTTTGGCGTTTTGATGATTTCATGTTGCCATCAATATAACACTCCCTGCCCCGTGGCTTAACGTTAACCCGCCTCCCTCGTCGCACTTAACTCCCTAAAAACTTTTCAAAATCACAATGAAAACTGGAGAACAAATGCAAATCAGTGGACATTTTCTCTCTCGCTGGGCAGTTAAAAAAAGCTTTGAATCAAGGCGAGATCCGCTCAAACTATTACGGTTTTCAACATTTTAATTAACTTTTGTTAACCTCATTCAATGAAAGCTGTGTTTGTGTAATTTTTTAAATACATCATATGCTAAAACTTTAAATATTAGACTTTATATTTCAAACTGAGACCCTATTTTTATGATTAGCAAAAACAACTTTAAATTCTGATTATTTAATACCATGTATCAACAATTTCGATTTGAAGCCACTTGCTAATTGCGAGTTTGTTTTTTTAACCCTGAAATATGTGGCAGACAAACTAAACATAAATCAACAAGCAAAGTAAAGTTTACTTTCTTTTTTTCGTGTTTTTCATGTTTTTCCAAGTTCAGATTTTGTTTTCGATTTTATTTTAGAATTTTTCTACAGAAAGTTCAAAAGCCGACCCTTTTCTGAACCTTTGGCTACTGTTCAGTGTTTCGTGGAGAGATAATCCGGGATCGATAGGAACTACTGAAGAGAGGCACTGTTGGCGGACAATATTAATAAATCTTAATGTGCGTTTCAACCTTGTTGTTATGGCTTCTTTGTGGGGACGGAGACCCAAGATTGAGCTGCTCTCGTCTTTGTGTTTCGTTTTTTCCCCGATGTTGCCGGCTGATAATGGAAGCTGATTGAAAGACCCTCCCCATTATCCCCCGCCTCAAAAAATATGCACCGCACCCGCAGCAGCTTTTACTGATGATTTCTTTTGATGAACAATTTCCAGGGACAGACAATGGGAAAGGCCAGGCAGCTCTCTATATATACATTTACTCGTATTCCGGGCAACATTTGCATCCCAAACAAAGCTGCTTTCTTCCGCTTGTTTAAGTGATTCGGTTGCGTTTATGTAACGCCAACACAAAACAGGCAACAATGGCAATCAATGGTCAACACAAATGAACCGCCAAATGAAAACATTTTATCAGATTTCTTATTTGCCACAATTATCCCCTTGGCGTTTATCTTATCTACATCGTATTATTGGTGTTCCAGCACTCCTTATACCAAAGCTCTCCTGACAATTTAATAAATTGCTCTTGCCACGCCTGGATTTTCAGTCTGGAATTGACTTCTGCGTGGGTTGCCAATGGGTTAATGAAGAACTCGGGAACCAAGCCCATTACCATTAGCCACTTCTTATAGAACTCTTTCTCTGCCTACAATTTCTTCATATTCGCTGAAATTGTGAGACCTGATGGATCGCTCTATGAGTCATTTTGAGTTCGCTGAATTGGTCACAACGCTCAACGAATTAAGGGCATGAATTCGGCGATGGGGGAATACTCTATCTATAAAAGGAGTGATTCATTGATAAGATGATACAGTATCAAAATTGGCCTTATAATATTATCAAACTAAAAGTCAAAAGTCAAGCTTGATCTTTTGTGTTATTTTCATTATTTCAATAATACTATTATCCGTAATGATTTGTTATTATTAAAAATTATTTTGTCTTTATTCTGTTGGTTTTGTTTTTCTTCGTTGCCTGATAATTTAAGTGATCCAAGAATTTAAGTGGATTTTTTGAATAATAAAATGTCAGTAGAAAAAGCACTTCCCTTTGGAGATATTAAATTCTAAGAAAATAATTGCCGGATATGCCCTGGCAAGAGTGTAAGTGAACAATATAAAAAAATGGCAAAAAACATTATATTTCGTTTTCAATTATTTTTTCATTTGCATTTCGTCGCTGGCGAAGCGGACAGAACTGCTTTATTGATATGCAAATAATTTACTTTTCGCAGCTTATTTTTGTTTTTATTTTTTGCTGGTCGAGTGCATTCAAAAGTTGTGGTGACTCAGACGAAAATTTGTATTGCAAAACTGAATTTTAGCTGGCGTTTTTCGCCTGCCTGCCTATCTTATCGCTATTCCTCAGACTTCTACTGCCCGCGCTTATCAAAAAAGGGTAGGGAAATAAATAGAGTATTAGAGATATGAGTTCTCTCGCTCACTCTGCCATATATGCTTCCGTCCCTGAATTGAAATTTGTTTTTAAGAAAATGTGTGCCAAGTTTGTTCAATGTTTGTTCTTCGCCCAAAAATCAACTTAAATTTCCTTGGGTCTTTTTTCGTTTATCTTTATGTTTGGAGAGGGAATATGCGGCGAGCCGTACAGCCTTCCATATCAATGAACTGATAAGCCCTCAATGAACTCCAAGGCCTGGCTGCTAATAGCATTTCGAGTGGATCGCGGATTAGGGTGGTTTGACGGAAATAAAGTGCAGTGGATTCCTAAGAATTCTAGAGTTTTTATTGTTTTTTCTTCTAGCATATATGTACTTATACTTTTAAATTGTACTCATGAACAATCAATGAGTTTGATTGATTGAAATATATTCATTTATTTGTATATTGTTTTATTATGTGAGAATTCCTTGAAATAGTTGATAAAGTAATCAAATCTTTTATCACACATTGCTAATATTTTATGTCAAGACCAACTATGTACTTAGGAAAGACATTTGATTGTCGTACTGTTCATTACCCTGTCTACAAATATAGTTGATAAAAAGAACTACTTATTGAAGTTAGAAATAAAAAAGGTTTTTCCATTTGCATATTTGTCTCCTTGATATAGCCGCTTTAATCAGCTGGACTCTTTTGACCTTAAGCTGCATAATTTCCACCTAACTCCCAACCATTTCATTTGGCTAATGCACAACTCATCAGCTTCAATTGCTGATGAATGGTTGACTCTGCTCATAACACTTTCCATCGTAAACTCTTTGGAATTAAACAGCAATCGCTTCAACATATTGCCACACAAATCACATGGGCAGAGGGGGAAAACTTTGAAGTTTTCAATTGAAACTTGCTCTTGGTCAGCTTTTCCATGCTTCGTTTGCGCTAGCTTGCACTGCCGCATTTTCAATTGACATGGAAATGCATTGAAGTGATGGTCAAGGGTGAAGTGATTTCGTATAACAGTGTTTAACACTTGAAAACAAATTTTAAGTCGATTCTGAAGGCAAGTTTTTTATGCCTTTTGAAAATGTTGTTTCTTTTAATAAGTTTAAGAATTAGTAATCTAGGTACAACTCCTTCTATTCTACTTAAAAGCAGATCCCAAAATAAACAGAGTGTCCGAATGAAGGTAATGTGATAAGAGGAGACACACTGGGAGAAATTTTAATTATATAGCTAATTGTCCAATTTTAAAATATTTTAATTTTAGTTGTCTATTATCCAACAACTTGAAAACCAACCCTCACAGCATTATTATTTTAAACTAAAGCTTGAATTTTTTTTCCAGTAATTTCAAATGGTCACGCGTGTCAATGACAACACCTACGGCCATGACTTTATCGAACCCGAATGTTAATGCCACTCTCTGTTTATCGGTCTGCAGTTTTTCACTTCACCGATAAGGGTTCGGCCCCCTTGCTTTTCACTTGAGTTTATGCGTGATTCATAAAATGTCAATTTATGGACAGTTTAGTGCATGTGGGTCTCTTTATTACTGGCTTGTTCTTGCCTATCTCAACGTTTTTTTTTTCTGTGATTCCCAAAATTAAAACCAATTGAAATGCAGCTCACTAGGCGACATACGAATTAGTTTAGCGTTTCTGTTTTTGTCACGCAAAGTGCGACCTTGAACTTGAGCAATTGCCTTTATTTCTGGGGCCAGCGAAAGCTCATAAGTCAAGGTCACCTGGGTGGGCTGGGTTCGTCAAGGATGTGTGTGTTTGTTTGAGAGCGACAAAGTGTAATACGGAGAGACGAGAAAAATTGATCTGGGACTCATGTGGTGCGGAATGTATGCCATTTTCTGGTGTGCTCTGGAATTGATTTTGAAGCTAAGGGCTGGCATGCATACAAAACAATTATAAGGAGGGTAGACAAAAGGCCTAAGACCTTTACAAATTGGCAGCCGCTGCTTAACGAGGTGTTTTTTATGTTCAGTCATGCACTATTTTTAAACAAAGACTTAAAGAATTTTGTTTACAGAGCTGTACAGATTGATAACAAAATTGTCTTTAATTGTATAACCCT